TCAATGAGCCCACATCTGACCACGCTATTTAAAATTTCAAGCCCCACCCTCAACCTAGTACTCCTGATCCCACTGCCTGCTTTTTTCCCAGAGAACTTACCACCTTCTAGGCTGCAATACAATTTACTTATTATGTTTACTATTTGTTGCTGTCTCCTCTTACTAAAATGTAAGCACTATGAAAGCTGAGATTTTGCTCACTGAAGTATCGCAGGCCTAAGTAAAAGAGGGCTTGCAAAAACTAGGTACAAATACCAATTTTTTTAATTAACAACAAGCTGCTGAAAAGGGGTCAAAGATAATGAAAACTGGGGCTTCTCTGGCGGCGCAGTGGTTAAGAATCCGCCCGCCAATGCAGGGGACACGAGTTCGAGCCCTGGTCCAGGAAGATCCCACATGCCGCGGAGCAACGAAGCCCGTGTGCCACAACTACTGAGCCTGTGCTCTAGAGCCCATGAGCCACAACTACTGAGCCTGCAAGCCACAACTACTGAAGCCCATGCGCCTAGAGCCCGTGCTCCACAAGAGGAGCCACCGCAATAAGAAGCCCACGCACCGCAACGAAGAGTAGCCCCTGCTCACCGCAACTAGAGAAAGCCCGCATGCAGCAATGAAGACCCAACGCAGCCAAAAATAAATAACTAAAATAAATAGATCAAAAAAAAAAGATAATGAAAACTTGAGCAAAAAAGTCACCTTGTCTCTATCAGCTCCAAGCCTGCCCATTTCTTCCAATACTTTCTAACTCAGTAATGGTCTCACCATTCAACCAGATTCTCAAGTCAAAGAAGCTTGGAAACCATCCTAGACTTCTCACTCTTCCAGTCCCTGCCCAGTCAATTCATCACCAAAAGCTGTCAAACTTCCTCTAATATCTCTAGAACAGGAGCCCTCTTTTCCACTGCCACCGTACCAGTACAAAGATTTTCATCTCTAAACTAGACTATGAAATCTACAACTGAGCTTTTTCGCTTTGATCTAACCAGGACCATTGAACGGATTTTAGATGATGACAGAGTATGACAGGTAGCAAAAAGCTAAGTGAAGAATAGGATACTTGAAGGTGAGAGAAATAAATTTTATCTTCACTTTCTTCCCTCCTATTGATGTGCATTTATTCATGTATTTGAGGTCCAGCTCAAGTATTTTCTCCACTTTTGAAGCCTCTCCCAGTTCCTTCAGGCAAAGTACATACTCTTTTTTGTACGTAACTCTAACAGAGCACTTTCTGTAGCAATTATTTTTTCACATATCAGTTGCCCAACTGGACTCAGAGAGTCGAGTCTTATTCTAGCGTAGAGCCTAGCATCAAAAATATCTGTTGAACAACTTTTAGTCTAGAATTGGCAATTGTAAAATGAAAACATAAGTTTGAGCAAAGGTAGTGGTACAAAGGACAAAAGAAACAGAAGTTATCTGGTTACCAGAAAATAGATAAAAATACTAAACTGAAGACCCAAGGAAAAAAAAAAAAGGCCAAACACATGAGGCTTTTCCATGTAGATGAGGGTAGAGAGATAAGCTAATAGAGATCCCCATGGAAATATTTAATAGAGAAAATAGATTATCTGGAATTTCACGGAGAAATCTGGAGGTGGAAGAAGGGCTAATCCAAATGGCCCTTAAAAATGAAACCCATTCTCTGAGATAGGAATGCTCAACTAGAAACAAATGAATTGTGTTCATCAAATGCTCATAAAATGCAGATTGTTTTAATTAAGGAGAAAGCATTGTAAAACATATCATCAGGCCCCCTCTAACCCCATCACCCCAAAGACACTCAAATATGTAGAATTCAACCATTAGAAAAACTGGCTCAAAAGAGGTCTCTCAAAAACCGACAAAAGTATGTTAACTGAGAAAATAAAGCTATTAAAATTAAACTCAACACACTGAACTTAAGTGAAGGTCTAATCTTTTCTTATAAAATTCTGTTTTATAGACCTGGGCACTAGTAAAAAGAAATAAAGAGCCCAGAAAAGCAATTTTTTTAATAAGAAGGTACAGTTCTACGCTTGAGAGAAAAATGGAAAAATATTCAGGATAATGTCCACCTCCATGTATATTTCAATGTAAAATAAATGGCTTGCTCATTGTAAGATGACTCAGTCACTTACATTTTGGCAGGTTCATGACAAACCAAGCTAATACTAGAGTGGTGGCTCTTTAGCTTTTTTGGGTCCCAGATCCCTCTGAGACCCCAATGAAAGCTAGGGTCTTGTCCTGCAGAAAAACATGCAGATATACACTTAGCTAGCATTTTAAACATGTCACAGCAGTCACAGAGTCCCTGTTGTCTATTTATGGCTTCCCAGAGAGCCAAGGAACCCAGTTGTACAACTCGTACCTTAATGAGTAGAAATAGCAAATGACGCAAGGCTCGGAAAAGGAAATGAACTGTTAACGATTCTAGAGCATTTTTCCTGGTCCTCCAGGCAATTAAAAACACTGAACATAAAAATCTCTTCTGGTTGAATTTTATCAAGTGATATACACCCAGATATAGGTAAAATGCATGCACACACCTTAAAATACATTTGAAACCTAAAGTGTTTAAAAGTAAAATCTAATAGTAATAATAGTAATAACAGCTAATAGTTACTGAGCATGTACTATATACCAAGTATTATTCAAAGTGTTTTAAATATATTCATATTTATGCACTAATGTAAATAACTATTATCTGTATTTCATAAATAAGGAAATTAAGGCCTAAAAAGGTGCAAAGAGAGTTAAGGAACAATGACGTGAAACAGAAATGACTGAGATTAGGCAGCAAAGACCTCCCTTATAGTGTGCACCATCTAATAGCAACTTAGACCTGCACCTGTATTATCACAGTTCTACAAAGCAAGAACATATTGTACAAACTCCAGAAGAAGGATGACAATCTTGATCTTTTTCCATATTCCTGGCAAGATAATCCTTATAATACCATGTTCACTTTGGAGTACACTGTAACCAGAAATGTGAATACAAAATGTTCAAAAAGATCACAATGCTAACTAAAGGATTTACGAGATTAAAAATGAAAGATTAGTTTTGAGGACAACAAACCTTAGCTTTCTAAACCACTGTCTTCCGTATACGTACCAGCAATGAATCATGCTTTGGAAAAATTAGCAACTTGATAAGAGGTAAAAAATCTGAAATAGGGTACCTTTTTCTACCAAGGAAGCTCAAGTCTCCCTACCTCAAGCTTTTTTCCAGACTACTTCCTTTTTATCATCTTGGTGCCAACACCTCTTCTACTCCAGGGACAAACACAAAAGTAGAGAAAACCTCACAGGTTCAATAGGTCTTATTAAATCCCATCAGTTGCAAGGCTAATTCAGATTCCTTGGATGTGCCTATGCTATGCCCTGCACAATGCAGCATACAATAAATATTTGTTGAATGGTTGAATCTTCTCCAGGAGAAAATGCATACGTTTAACATTTTCTACTTCCCATAATATTACACTACAAATTATTATGGTAACAGAATAATGTAATAATACAAATCTTTTTTTAAATTCTATGTCCCAGGGGAAAAAAAATGACTAATTTTTTTGACATCAATTTATGCAGCTATTGGCAATCCAAGACACCACAAAAAATTTATCTGAGTACAGGTGACGCCTGAACAACATGGGTTTGAACTGCACAGGTCTACTTATATGTGGATTTTTCTCAATGGTAAATACTACAGTACTACACAATCTACAGTTGTTAAGTTTGAGCACACAGAACCACAGATATGGAGGAACCTTGGATACAGAGAGCCCACTGTAAATTACATGCGCATTTTCAACTCTGTGAGGGTTGCTGCCCTTAACCTTCCCATTTTTCAAGTATCAACTGTATACTCTATTTAAACAATAATGTTCTTAACATATTATAATTTCTTACAGCTTTCTTTTTTTTTAACATCTTATAGGAGTATAATTGCTTTACAATGGTGTGTTAGTTTCTGCTTTATAACAGTGAATCAGCTATAAATATACATATATCCCCATATCTCCTCCCTCTTGCGTCTCCCTCCCACCCCCCCATCCCACCCCTCTAGGTGGTCACAAAGCACCGAGCTGATCTCCCTGTGCTATGCGGCTGCTTCCCACTAGCTATCTATTTTACATTTGGTAGTATATATAAGTCCATGCCACTCTCTCACTTCGTCCCAGCTTACCCTTCCCCCTCCCCGTGTCCTCAATCTTACAGCTTTCTTTGTAATGTTTAATGAAAATACAACAAAACCATGGATGTTTTTCTTTTAAACAACCAATAAACTTTCTGAATCAGGTAAGAGAAATTAGTTCTGTTAAAGTGAGGTGGCCTGCTGCTTTACTAGTAATATGCTAAATTCAGTGAAGCTTAAAAACCAAGAAACAATGAAAATAAACATATACTCTTACATACGCCACAAAAAAAGTTCCCTTTATATTTAATTCACAAACTGAAACACCTGCTCTGATTTACTGAACTGTTAAAACATCTGAGAGCAAACACACAAAATTAAAAACTATACACAGTTTCTTAGAAGTTGATACCGATTAAAAGAAATTAATCCCTATGCATTAAAAAGTATAGAAAGCATACAAGAGCCAAAATATTCCCTCTATTTTGACTAAATATTCCCTAATATTCAGCAGTACTTTTTAAAACACAACTTATAGTTACTGAATATTAATTTACCAAAACAGGCAAGGATGACCTTATCTTGTCAAAACTCATAATACTGTTTCCTCAACATCCTAGAAGACAGCTTGATGCACCACACTCTTCCATCTGCTTTGTTCTATTTCTTCATGCCCCAAATGGAAATTAAACCCTTCCAGTAACAGCCAAAATTTCATCAGTCACAGGAAAGTACTTAGAGCAGAGAAGTAGTATGATATGAATAAGAGGTAGAAAGAACAATAGGTGGAACAGCCCTGGTAATGACCTTAGAGTATGCGCTGAGAGAGAAAATCTACACAACATGTACAGGAATTGCATTTAAATAATTCTCTTCCCACTTACCTGATGAGCTCTCGGTAAACACCGTTAATGTCTGTCCTCCAACACTTTGCAAGAGAAATGGATGTTCTCTAGGAGCACTGACTGAAGCTGGTTTCCCGCCAATATCATGAATGTTTGCAAGGTCCTCATTCAAAGTAAATGACACCTAGGAGACACATGAACCAGAGCTTATTACAATAGATTTTTGTATTCAAAGTATCTGTACAGAAATTCTAACTATAAATCAAATACTTTTTTAGTGTGAATCTTTTCTAGTCATTTTATTAAGCATTTTTTAAAAACTTCGTCAAAAAATTTTTAATAATTAGTCCCAATAAGAGAATCTATCCCCTTTTGTCAGAATAATGGGGCTAATCTACCATTATATAGACAGCTTTCAAATGTTTTCTCTGGTCTATGGCTGAAAAACTTCTATTTACAAAATAGAAATAAATTTTTTTTCCTAAGGTGTCTGAGGTCAAGGAAGAAACCATGTCTTGTTATATTTATACCCCTAAATAAATTAGATGAGTATTAGGTGGATGGATGGATGGATAGATTGACAGATAGATAGATAGATAGATAGACAGACAGATCTATCCATCCATTCATCCATCCACCTCCTAGCAAAATGCCTGGCACACAGAAGGAAAACAGTGTTTGCTGAATGACTGAACATTTTAAAAGTATTAAGAAAGCGACTGTACTTGAAGCAGGGGGAAGTGAGCTATTTACTCAGGAAGCTTAAACATTCCCATAAGCAGAGGATGTCTTTCTTTTTAGATCCAGTAACTGTATGAGTACTAGGTGCTGTTTTACTTTTGAATATTTCAACAAATACAACTAAATATTCGTAAGGATAACTCAATATTGAGGTTTAGAATCAAAAGACACAGTAGGTGTTCTTTCAAAATGATTTTTACCATATCTCCCCAAATTTTACATCAAAGGGATTTATAAACTTAACATACTGAACTCTTAACCATGTAGAAAGATTATGAAGTATTATTAAATATCTCTCTACTATGCGACAGGTACTGCAAATTATGTCCTGGACTTAATGGGTCAAAATCTAAAGCCTTCAAAAATCCAAATCAAATGCATTTGCCAAAGTGAAATAATGTTTAAAGTATTACTGAAACAATACTTTCATAGTACCAGAGAGGGGATATTTAGGTCAAAGTAGAAAAATGCTAAGCATGAACAACTAGAAAGGAGCCTATTCATTCACACAAGAGTGGCATTTATACTAGTATGTGTTCCTGACCAGCCACCAGCTTGATGTGGAGTTTTCCAGAACGCAAACACTACCCTCTCTTTACTATTACTAATGCATAGTAAAATAATCTAATGTTTTAAATAAAATTTCCATAGAAATAATCTTACCTCGGTCCTTCCTTGATTTCTGAAAGAGAGGAAAGAAAAAATTTTCAATTATTTAATTTCATATTTTTTTCAAATGTAAGCTAAGAACTAAAAGAAATAATGCTACTTCATATTTACATAAAAATATTACATTTACAGAGATTAACTAATATTTATCCTTGGCTCTCCTAAACTATTCTATTTGTAATCCTATAGGAAAAACAAATACGCATTAATCCCACATGAGTGTTTTAGATATTATGAGTTTGTGTCTCTTAACACTATTACAACCTGACCTAATAATATTTTATCCAAATAATGATCTTATTACAATTCTTATTTTCATTTCTGAGTATTTTAATTTATTAGTTATTTATTATTTTTGGCTGCGTTGGGTCTTCGTTGCTGCGCACGGGCTTTCTCTAGTTGCGGCGAGCGGGGGCTACTCTTCGTTGCGGTGTGCGGGCTTCTCATTGCGGTGGCTTCTCTTGCTGCGGAACACGGCTCTAGGCATGCTGGCTTCAGTAGTTGTGGCACATGAGCTTAGTAGTTGTGGCTTGTGGGTTCTAGAGCACAGGTTCAGGAGTTGTGGCGCACGGGCTTAGCTGCTCCACGGTATGTGGGATCTTCCCGGACCAGGGCTCGAACCCATGTCCCCTGCATTCACAGGCGGATTCTTAACCATTGCGCCACCAGAGTAGCCCTCTGAGTGTTTTTAGCATTCAGCAGCATGTGAATGGCATATTTAATACCAGATATATAGAACTTCAACAAATTTTACTATTTATTTTGTCTAGCTGAAGAAGTTTCACTTACCTAACAAAATCTTAAAGATCAAAAATTATTTTTAAATTACAAGCAATTTTCTCTGCTATAAAAATAATGTATGCCCATGTAGAAATAATTTTATTACAGACAACCCAAAAGTTTTAAATTAGCCAAGATTCTACTGTTAACATCTACTGTTATCCCCAGTAAATATCCTTCCATACGATTTTTAATTTATTTGAATTACATTTTAAAATTTTTCTTTTTCTTTTTTTTAATAAATATGGGATCAATGTACACCCTAATAATAGCCTAATTTAAAAAAAATCATGTATTAAATACCTGCAAAGTACTGAGTGGAAGGCCCCTATCCCCAGCCAGCAGAAGATATAAAAGCTAAATCCAGGGGCTTCCCTGGTGGCGCAGTGGTTGAGAGTCTGCCTGCCAATGCAGGAGACACGGGTTCGCGCCCTGGTCCGGGAAGATCCCACACGCCGCGGAGCGGCTGGGCCCGTGAGCCATGACCACGGAGCCTGTGCTCCACAACAGGAGAGGCCACAACAGTGAGAGGCCCGCATACCGCAAAAAAAAAAAAAAAAAGCTAAATCCATAACTATAAAGTGAGATAAATTTTAATTTTAATTAAGAGAGCCACAATGTGCTAGGATTAGGTGGGAGTACACCACTTCTTCCATTTTAAGAGTTGAGGACTGGCTCAACAAGAGGCAGCTTTTGAGCTATAGTATCAAACGTAAAACAGATAGCTAGTGGGAAGCAGCCGCATAGCACAGGGAGATCAGCTCGGTGCTTTGTGGCCACCTAAAGGGGTGGGATACCTAGGGTGGGAGGGAGGGAGACGCAAGAGGGAAGAGATATGGGAACATATGTATATGGATAACTGATTCACTTTATTATAAAGTAGAAACTAACACACCATTGTAAAGCAATTATACTCCAATAAAGATGTTAAAAAAGAAAAAACAGTAAATAGCTAAGTGGGACTTTCCTGGCGGTCGAGTGGTTAAGACTCTGCACTTCCACTGCAGGGGACGCAGGTTTGATCCCAGGTCGGGGGAACTAAGATCCTGCATGCTTCGTGACAGGGCCAAAAAAAAAAAGCAAAGTAAATTGCTAAGCAAAGCCAGGAAAATGTGATCAGATTTGGCTGGGAGGGAAAGTACAAAATAAAGAATAGTAGGAGATGAACTATAAAGGAGAAATGGGGCCAGACCATATAAGATCTTGAATATCACAGCACAGAGCATGGACTTCACTCTTTAGGCAATGGAGAGCTACAAGCATTGTTTGAACCAAAGTATAACAAGTACAAAGACATGTTCCAAGAGACTGACATCAGAAAATATACATAGAATGGATATGAAGACCAGTTAGAAAACTACTAGTTCTCCATAACACCCGGCTGAGTTCCAACCTGTCTTCCTTCAGTGGTTCAGTCATTCACTGTCATTAAGTGTCTGCTATACATCCACTAGGTACTGTGACAAGTGCATGGTATAGTACGAGTATAGGTCTTTATCCTCAAGAAGGTCCCAGTCTAATGAAAAAAAAAACAGCTCCAATCCACGAACAACTACAAACAGGACAATAATTTCAAGACAGAGGTATAACAAACTGTCATGGAAATGCAGATATGAAAGCTAGGAAAAGATGAACTGAGTGGGGGATGAGATCAACAACAAGTGGCCATTCCAGGCTAAGAGAAGAATCCAACTAAACACCAGAAATGAGAAAGTATCCAGCATATTCCTTCTAACATCAGTGAACGGTAGGTTGGAGTCAAGTGGTAAAGTGCCTTTTAGGCCAGACTAAGGATTCCAGATTCTTACAGAGATTTGTTTACTGTATGAATTCCCAGTCTTTCATACATTAAAATACAATGTCAATCTTCTTTTTGTTGGGGAAGTACCTAGAAAAGAGGTGAAAAAAGTTTAAGATTTCACATAAAAATAATGAATTTCCAGCTTCTCTTACAGGACCGGAAGATCTGGCAACAATGTGCTCCCAGTTCGGCACGACAACAATCCCCTCAACATGCAGACAGTCAGGCACTGAATTCACTACAGTCCCTTCCCTATCTCTCCAGAACTTTCCTTCTAGAGGAACTGAATTTAGCTACCCTAAGAGAGAGGCACTGTAGGCAAAGCAAAGGGAAAGACACAGAAGGCACTCACGTAATGTTTACTGAACTGAACTGAGGTTAATGCAGAAACGCATATAAAAAGTAATGAAGGCCTGAACCAGACAGCTGTAGAATTCAAGGAGGAGTCTGGCCATCATCAAAAAATCTAGAAACAATAAATGCTGGAGAGGGTGTGGAGAAAAGGGACACTCTTGCACTGCTGGTGGGAATGTGAATTGGTACAGCCACTATGGAGAACAGTATGGAGGTTCCTTAAAAAACTACAAATAGAACTACCATATGACCCAGCAATCCCACTACTGGGCATATACCCTGAGAAAACCATAATTCAAAAAGAGTCAAGTACCAAAATGTTCATTGCAGCTCTATTTACAATAGCCCAGAGATGGAAACAACCTAAGTGGCCATCATCGGATGAATGGATAAAGAAGATGTGGCACATATATACAATGGAATATGACTCAGCCATAAGAAGAAACGAAATTGAGCTTTTTGTAATGAGGTGGATAGACCTAGAGTCTGTCATACAGACTGAAGTAAGTCAGAAAGAGAAAGACAAATACCGTATGCTAACACATATATATGGAATTTAAGGGAAAAAAATGTCATGAAGAACCTAGGGGTAAGACAGGAATAAAGACACAGACCTACTAGAGAATGGACTTGAGGATATGGGGAGGGGGAAGGGTAAGCTGTGACAAAGTGAGAGAGAGGCATGGACATATATACACTACCAAAAGTAAGGTAGATAGCTAGTGGGAAGCAGCCGCATAGCACAGGGAGACCAGCTCGGTGCTTTGTGACCGCCTGGAGGGGTGGGATAGGGAGGGTGGGAGACGCAAGAAGGAAGAGATATGGGAATATATGTATATGTGTAACTGATTCACTTTGTTATAAAGCAGAAACTAACACACCATTGTAAAGCAATTATACTCCAATACAGATGTAAAAAAAAAAAACACTGATAGAAGAGGAAATGACTGAAAGTGGGCAGCAAAGGAAAAAGGATGGATTAAAGATCATGCTGCCATTTCCCGTCAGTGACTAGAAATCACCCAGATGCAATTAGGGAACACAGGAGGGGAGGTCAACTTCCTTTTCATATACAGTTGACCCTTGAACAATGCAGGGGTTAGGGCAGACGACACCCTCTATGTTCATGGTTCCATGTCCATGGATTCAACCAACAGCAAACGTGTGGAACTGTAGCATATACTGACTGAAAAAAAACCATATAATCAGTGGACCTGTGCAGTTCAAACTCTTATTGTTCAAGGGACAACTGTATAATAATAGCACCTTAGTTGGAATGATAAGAGATTGATCAACTCTGGATGAGTTAATTTTCTAGAATAAATATTAACCCTTGAAAACTTAAAATTTATTTTAAAAGGATTATGTATTGCTTTGTCTTGGTATATGAATGTATGAAGTATACATGACCTTTTGTCATTCTACATTACAACTAAAATATACCCTTCCCATGATGATCTGTGGTCAAAGTTATAAACATCCACTATTGTAAAACACAGTAATGGCTTCAGAAATGGATGAAGTAAACACCTGGCCCACCCTTTCACTGAAAGTCTCATAATGTTTCTCGTTACTCTGAGTCTGTTTCTCAATACTCCACAGATACTTCTTTAGACTCCAACCTCGTTCCTCTTGCCTTTTTTAAAAAAATTAATGTCTTTCCTTTTTCTTACACTCTTAAAATACATCTTAGATTTGACACCAATGGGGCCAGACTTTTCACTAATCACTGATAACCAATAAATCACCTGCTTCTTCAGGATAAGAAAACCAACCAAATAATAATAATAATAACCCTGTGCTCCCACAGGATTTTTTGTGGGTTTTGTTTTGTTTCATTTTGAATTCCTAGTCATATGTCCCCTTCTTGAACAATATAGCTCAAAAACCAATAGGGGAGGCCAAGCAAGGTAGGCATCTGCAGAGTGGGTTGAGCAGAGCAGTCATAGCCCAAGTGGAAAGGAAGTGCCTGGGGTAGAGAGGGCAGGCCGGGGCAAGGTGCCAGAGCCCATGGGGTAAAGGAGGGCACCCCATAACGGAACAGCTCAACAAGAAATGGGTCAGAGCCTAGTGAGGCG